GTTCTAACACATCTCAACACATGAACATGACCCATCTGTCCATTTAGTTCAGTGTTTGATTTCTCTCAGCAGTATTTCATAGTTTTTGATGTACGGATATGACACATTTTTTTGCCAGATTTATCACGTTGATGTTAAAAATGTGTTGCTTTTACACTTTTTGAGTTTTGATATTTTGTTTTTAACTTCAGGTTTTGATTTTTTATTGATAATATATAAAATACAATAGATTTTTGTGTTAATTTTATATTCTCAGTTTTTCAAAACTCATTGTGTCACTTCTAAGTTTCTTGTTTACTGAAAATAGGTCAAGTGTGCAGATAAAGACAGCTTTACATTTTCTGCCCACTATGACACCTATTCTTTTTCTTGCCTTGCTGCATTGGCTACAGCTTCTATAACTTTGAACAGAAGAACAGAGAGTATATATCCCTGCTTTCCCCCTTATTTAGTGAAAATGATTTAGTGTTTTGTTCTTTAATATGATAAAAGCTATAGACATTTTTGTAGATGCCCTTTGTCAGGCGAAGAATTTCACCTCCATTCCTAGTTTGCTGAAAATTTTCACCAGAAATGAATATGGATTTTATGAAGTGCTCCTTAAGAAGTTGTTGAGATGATGCTTGTGTTATTTCATTTCCTTATAGTTTGTTAATCTTGGCCAGAAGCCAGATCTGGGGCAATACTTAAATTCTTGTGCCTTGGTTCTCTTAGGGCTCTTTTAGGGTTCTGTTGGTTTCATCAGGCTGCTGTATGAGCATGAGGGTTGCCCACTGTGGCTGCCCAATGTCTGATATCAGCACCTGTGCCTTTTGTTTTATAAATTAATATATACTAATTGTACTGCTACAGCAAGCAGGAACACCAAAAAGACACCCAGGACTTGGAGGCAGTGAACAGCTTTATTTTACACCAGTGGTCTTGGTTGGGATCACTGCCCACAACAAGGCCAGATGGCCAGTGCTTGTGGGCTATCACTTTTATATGATGCTTAAGTAGAATTGCAAAGTCAAGACAGAACAACCTGGCAGTACTCTGATTAGGTAGCAGGGTGAGATCATTGGTTACAAGGTTATATTAATGTTTATCAGTTACAAGCCTAGATTAATGATCAAGGAGCTTGTTACAGTCAGACATCCTGCATGTTCCATTATGCTGTCGTGGTGTGCTCTTATGGTTACAGGGGTCAAGAAAGTAATTACAGAGGCATGCAGTAGTTATAGAGCTAGGCAGTCTTAAAAAGAACAAAGTTTTTAAAAGAATAGTTTTTCTTCTACAGTTTTTCCCCTTTCAGTACAAATGGGTGGGGTTCACTGTAATATTTTGATACAAGCATATAGCACTGTACCTCTGTGTCTAAGAGCTTTCTTTGGCTAGCAAAGCATGTTTAGCTTGTCCAGTGGAAGTCTGAAAGTATGGAAAATAACTCCCTTGTCCTGAAATCACCCTCACCTGTGGAAGCTGGTTCATCAGCACCCTAGCTTCCTTGCCTCAGAATTACATGCTGTACCCTGTTTCCCAGAATGCCCCACGGCAGGAAGCTGTGGTTGTGTGTCGTAATAACCAGTTTAAAACTCACTTTTATTTATTGTTCTCACATAACTTTCTCATTCCCCTACTGGTATTCCCCGCAAAATTACTTGTCCCTGAATCTTTGCCTCAGTTCCTGCTGCTGGAAGAACCCAAACAAAGGCAGGGGCTAAGTGGGGACAGTTCACAAGCCTTAGGAAGGGCAGAAATCCCTTTTTAATGTAATGTTATGAAAGAGGAAAGAATTACTGCCCAAAAGCTCTAATCTAAAGATTAGAGTGAAGCCTTGAGGGAAATGATCACAAAATAATCAAATCCATGATGATCTCAGTAGAAATAAGCCAACAAATGAAGAGTTCAGTCCAGGAAAGCAGATTTGCTTAGATTTTTCTCTCTCCAGCTATTTCTCCCAATCATTATATTTATGTAAGCGAGAAATGGATGCAGATATTGGAACTGTGGCTCAACAGCCTAAAATTGGCTTCAGAAATAAACTAGGCGGGTCTCAGAAGGTCTCAAATGATGAGAAGCCAACCACGGACTCGTGTGGACTCCACAGAGTCAGGGCACCTTGGAAAGGAGGCCACATATCCTCAAAGAGAAGGAAAATGAGACAGCCCTGTGATGGAGGGGCCACAGCGAAGGACCAACCTTAAAAGGAAGTTGTTGCCAGTAAAGGGCTTGAAAATAATGAAAACAAACAGGACGTTTAAAATCTACTGGACAGAAGGAAAGATCAGAGAAGCTTGTGTCTCTGGCAGATGAAAGCTTTTAAACTCTTTCTCACTCTGTCCTTTCAGAAAAGCTCCGCAGTGAGGGTTTGGCTGAGGCAAGTTGCAGTTGATGCTAGGAAGGAAGGCAAAGCCCAGGGAACAGTGTGCTTCAAAATGACTAACAAATACGGATCATGTGGAGCTTAGCAGGGTCCACAGCAGTGATGTCCAGAGGGACTTTCTGCCTTGGTAGGAATTGTCCATCTCTGCAGTGTCCAGGACCATCGTCCCTGGAGCCACAGATGGCCATTGAGCTCTCAAAAAGGGACCAATGGTACTGAAGCTCTGAATTTCTACTTTTCTTTCATTTTAATTACTGTTCAATATAATTAACACCTATGGCTGGAGGCTTTCACAGCAGACAACCCAGGGCTGGAATAGGCACCCCAAAGTCATTTGAGATGTCACAGAGGAGCCACTGGTCTGCCATTTTGAGACATTACATGGGACATTACTGGAGATCTGAGAAGAGCCAATGTTGTTTCTCTGTTTTTCAAAAAGAAATGTGATCCTGGAAACTAGGTTTGGCCAACTCCTTAAGGTATGTGAAACAGCTCCACACAGTAAAGAACTCTGACATGATACTCGGTCCATCTGCCCAGGGTCACCTGGAAGCTGGGCTATCATCACTGGTGGAGCTCAAGCTTTGTGAGGTTATAGTCAGACAATGAAATATTGGGCTGGTTAAGTGAATGGCATCTCTAGCAGAGGATATACTTATGACAGCACAACTGGGGAACATCTTCATGCCCGTTATATTTGTCATTCATTCATTCCTTCCTTCAAGACATAGTTATCAAGTAAAACACATGAAATCATGTGGAGACCAGATGGCAAACAATACAGATCCATTCTGTGTCCTCATTTTTATGGAGAAAGTAATTTAACAAGAGGAACAGACGTCAGACCAATAATTATATTGCTTTACTTAACTATGACTATAAAAATATTAACAATAGAAAGGGCAGAGTATGGAGAGAACCAATAATGGGGGCTCAAGCTCACCTGAAGACAGCAGGGTGACCTTTCTGTGGATGTCACTTTAGAAGTTAGTGTGTCCGAGATGCTGCAGTGGGTTAGGAGAGTGAGAAAGCTTTCCAGGTTGAAAGAGCGGCACATGAGCTGACCTTAGGGATGGGGATGGAAGGATTTGGAGTATACCAGCAGCTGAAAGAATGCCAGGTCCTTTGGATTGAAGGGATTATTGTCAGGTGGGAGAGCATATGGACAGGAGACACCAGTGGTTTTTTCCCAGCCTTTATGAAGTATGATCAAAACCTATGGTGATTATTTAAATTTCATAAAATGAATTACTATGAAAAGCACATTGATATGAATCACCCTCAAAATCCTCCCCCTTACTTCAAACACTTATCCCATGAGTCTTGCTATTTCCTGAAGCAGTTCTGCAAGTCCTCTTTCCTGAGTGTCTGTCTTGTACTGTTAGGGCTGCCTCCGTGTCCTGAATTAATTCAAAACAACTACCTGCCATAGCCATTTTGACTTTGGGGAAGAGTGAGAAGTCACACAGTGCCAGATCTGGTGAATGAGGCAGATGAGGTATCACGTTTTCACAAGCCTGCATTTCTGTTGGATGGCACTTGGAAGCAACATTTATGAATCATACCTGGTAAAGACGGTTAGGAAAGATGGCTGAAGAAAGTGGCAAGCATGATGGAATTAGTGTGTTCGCAGCAAGGGGATATATTCTGAGGGAGATTCATGGAAATGTGTCTTTTGCTGCAATAAATTGTTTTTAATTTAAACCTTCCCTATATTTTTTGTATCAATCCTTGTATTACCAGAAGTGGAATCCTTTGGTCAAGCACAATATGATGGGTAACCCTCATGATCCAAGGGACAAGGGCAGAGGTACCTAGCTTTCCTGGATACCTCCTGACACAAGTGCCTCTGCCAGGCTAGGGGCCAGAGGGGACATGCTAGAAAATGGTTCTGGAGTCAATTCTACTCATTTCGCAGATGAGGAACGTGAAGCTCAAGGCAAGTGTGGGTCTTCACTAGGGTCACATAGCTAGCTAAGAGCAAAGGGGTATTGTCACATGGTCACCTAGCACCTTTGCTTTACTGGGTAGGAAAAATTCTGAAGTTCCTGCCAGGGATTCCTTGGCACCTCTTTGAGAATTCAGTTCTGTCCTGGAAATGGGCTGGATAACACCAATGACCTCTCTAGTCATGAAAATCCTTACGTTTTTATGACACCACACTAGGAGAATACATGGCCATGTAGTTGAAAGTGGAAAAATAAATGGTTCATGCGAGATGGTAAGTACAGAGGCTTGGTAAACCCAGCTTTGATGGGCATTACCAGGAAAGAAGTCCCCCGTAGTCTCAGGTGTCCTACTTTTGGCCACTTCTTTCTCTACCCATAATCTACTTTGTACCTTGTACCTCTGTGAACAAGTACTATTTGTTGGTGATTTAAGTGTAGATTTTGATCCAATTCTATGCAGAGGTGAGTTGCTGATTGGGGTGCAGGGGACTGGTCAGGTGAGGTGTGTCCCTAGTTTGACCTCATCTCTTGTACTGCATGCTGCCCCTCGTTGCCATGGCTGGGGACATGAAGGGCTCTTCCATGGGAGCCTTGCTCTTCCCCAGGTGAATAGCAGTTCTTCTTCCTGGTGCCCAAGCAAGATGCTCCTGCACTTTTGATTTCTCCCAAGCCTTTTATTGGTGAAATGATTTTATTTTTAAGAGCCACCTTCATGTCCTCACTCCTCTTTCTTAGAGTAGGACAGAGAGAGGAGGTAGCAGACACACTCCAAGGTGTCCTTTCCTGGTGACCAGTAGCCAGTGCTCCAAGCAGCCCTCTGCCCATAAGATCACCTCTTGCTACAAATCAAGAATTGTCTTTGTCTCCCTCAGCAACCTCGAGCTTGTCTGGAGTCTTAATTCTGAGGCCCCAGGGGAATTCCCCATGGTCCCTTTCTAGTGTCCTTTCCAGCCTTGTGGCTTGAGCAAGCTCCGCTTGTTGCTGTGGCTGACTCCTGGGACACCCACTATGGGGCTTCTTCCAGCTGTCCTCAAGGAAACCAGGAACCCTGAGGACCCCCAGCACCAGTGCATCAATCTCCATCTCTTCTCACTGCTTCTGGTGAAGTAAAACTTACAGTCAGGAGAGTAAGATACGTGCTTGAAAAAACAACATTCTGATGAACCTTTGCTAATGGCATCCTGGTTGCCTCAAATTCCTTTTCATTTTGAGACTGGGAATACACAAATATCCAAAATATCATTGGTACCCTGACCATTCTGGAAGGATCATTGAAAGTAAGAAGGCAAAGAAACCACTTGGATTTGGTCACAATATTAGAAGCATGATTTCAGCTGTCTGCATCTTCACGACTGGTGTTTTCTCTACATTTTCACTCACTGAAAAGCATCCTGACATAGATCACCTAACTCCCAGTATTACATTTGGCATCAGCCTGGTTTCCAAGCAGGTTAAAACAAAATCACAAAGCCAGAGGAAGCATTTGAAGAATTTAAATTTTATTTCTAGGAAGGGAAATTATCAAAAGATGCAGCTGCCTGGGCTAATGGGATTGTACTCACCGGACAGTCTAAAATGAAGGTTTTTTTTAAAAAATTCTTTTCATAGAGGGAACTTTGGGTAAAAATAATGAAATGGTTTTAACATATGGCTTTGGAAATGTATTCATGTTTGTTCAGTGAGCGATTTCCTGTGCTGAAGGATTGTATTAATAAATACTCTGTCAGCAAATGGAATTTCAAAAGGGAACCTCTGAAAGGCTGATTTTGAATTGCGTCATGGAACTTGCTGAAATGTTATGCCTGCTCTTCCTTCTCATTTGATTGCTTTGCAAAGCCCTTAGAATTCAGTCTAAGAGGCTTAACTGACTTCAGTTATATTGGGGTGCCCAGCCCAAAGTACTCAGTATTTCAGTAGAATGTCTAGTGCTCTCAAGTATGTATTAATTGTGTGTGTGTGTGTGTGTGTGTGTGTGTGTGTGTGTGTGTGCATGTAAGAGAAAGAGAGCTAGAGAATATATTTCACCATTGGTGCCAAGTCACGCAACATTTGGAAGATTCCATTTGCTTTGAAATTCCACAGAAGTATCCTTGTACATGGACACTTGTGAAATATAGAGGATTAAATTGCATTAGAATGAGAGGAGTTCTTTTCTGCTTCTCTTTTTCTTTAATATCTGTTCACAGACTAACATAATTGACCATTGGTTCTTCATCTTGAGGCTCAGCCCAATTCAGTTCACAAATGCATGTTGAGACCCCATTATGTCAATCTGGCCTAACCGTATAGGCTGAGATTCCTACCTTCAAGGAACTTCAAGATAAACAATGTGTCCATATGCTCACTACAGCACGGAGTAACAGTGCAGTCAGGAGTGTGGGTACCAGGTGCAGGGCTGTAACAAAGAGGGGGACATGATTAGCTGTAGGTACCTTGGAATGCAGCAGGGCTCACAGATTCCCACATCCTCAGTGGCCAGGTCACCTGGACTGGAATAAGGTAGGGATTAGCCTGGGCATCCCAATGCAGGGATGAGGTTATTTGTGTACTGTACAAAGCTCCCGCCTTTTTGAGAAGATGCTAAGTCACAGGCACTCCTCCAAGACCCATTGCAGACATCCATCATGAATCAGCCATAGTTCTTTTCCTTGTTTATCCCTGATGATGGTAAACCACGCAGTTGATACTGTCATATGAGGTTGTGGTCAACAGGACACATGTTGACTAATACAAGAGGTTCTGTTTCAGGAAACTGAGAAAGAAGGTGGGAACTCTTGGAATCTGTGAACCCAGGGACACTGGGGCTCCCGAAGACCAGCATCCATTCTTTTCAGAGACTCTACATGGGTAGTGGGAGTGTTGGCCATGCTGCAGAAGCACTGGGGGAACAGTTCTGAGAGCTTACCCCAAAATGACCAAGGCAAAGAGCAAGCTATGAGGCTTTTCTGTGAAATAATGGAAGTGAGGATGCTGGAATCATTGGAAATGCCCTTTAGATGGAAATAATTAGTCATTTTTAGTGTCTCTGTGTCCAGTGCCGTGTCCTCATTTCTGTGTCCCTCCTGGGAACTGTGGATGGGCAGTTTGTGTTCTAATGGAGCCGTAGCAGCTGCTCCAGGCATCCAGGGGGCCACCTGGCTAGGTGGAGCTTTCTTTCATGTCAGAATCAGAGGAGGGAAAATAACAACAAAGTTCTGGCTTTATGAGAGAACAGCAGGAATGGTGCAACAGAGAAAGAGCTTCAAGGGAATAAATGAATCACAGAAGTCTCTTTTAGGAGTTTTTACTTTTGATTAACCTCAGACATGGGAAGAAAAAAAGGAAAAAATACTAAACAAGAACAACAGCAATAACAGCAGTTGCCCTTTATGTGGGCCGATTTTCTCCTCTCATTTCCTGCGCGTATTTTCCCTTCCTCCGCCATATTGGTTGGTGAATCTTCCATATCTTAGCAAAGAAATAATGACAGTGATGTGTTTCCGTCATGGTGTCTGTACCTACCCACAGGAGAATTTAGCAGAAGGTGTTGATGAAACATAGGTTCTTCGACTTCTTTTTTCTTTGGTGGAAGTTGGCCCATGTCAAGGAGGAAGGCTACTGACAGCTCCAGGTTTGCTTGCAGAAGTCAACCTACAAAACCAGTTCCGCCTTTGAACTTTTTCTGGAACACTTAAAAAACACTGTTTGCAGAGTCACTTCTAAGAACGGGAGTGAAAGCCAGCTTTCAGTACCTCAAAATAAGTGGGAGGAAAAGGTTAAGCACAAATACTTTAGAAATTTGAAATGTTTTTATATGTTATTTTTATCTCATTGTAAAAGAAATGCATGCTCATTGGGAAAAAAGAAAAAACTTGTAGATACAAAGGAACATTGTAAGTACAAAGAATAAAACCCAATAATTTTATCACTCAGTTATGCCATGAACATTTGGTACATTTCTTGTCATTTTCATACTGTTAAAAATTCTTATGTATGCTTTTTAAAGAGTACATAGATTTAGCCATTCATGTGAGATTAATATGTATAATAATCCCCTCCCTTTTCTGCATTAGGGTTACTTTTGATTCTTGCTATAGTGTTCTGACAACCATCCTTGTGTCAAAATTGGTGGTGATACTGCTTTTGCCTGTGTCATTGGAAGAAATTCCTAGAAGGAAAATTCTGGCCAAAGGATGTTTTCAAAATTTAAGAAATCCTCTATATATGAAGTACATCCTTATAATATGGCAAACAAAATATAGAACATTTCACCAAGGAAACAAAATGGGCTTTTGCTGTGGTACAGTTTTGCCCTACCCCTGAGGTACACAGAATTAAAACCTGGTCCCAAGCAAGGAGATTGAAAGGTGCTGTGACACCTTAGAGGATCTGAGGTCACCAGATTGGTGCTCTTGGAGGCTGTTCTCCCACAATCCTTGAGACAGCTCAGGAGCTGTTAGGAAAGAAGCAAGTCTGGCCCTATTGGCTCTCCTGTGTCCTGGTTCTCTTTGGGATCATTGTCCATCCACCTTGAACCTCTAGAACTCTGACCTAAGTAGAACTCCTTTTCTTCCCAGGTAGACTATTTAGGTATTTCCTTATGATAACGAAGATCTGATTTGTAGAACCATCATGCATTTGCACTTTCATTCAGGGAACATTCACTGAGTTCACGGACTGTAATGGAGACACCCTTATGAACGTGAGGACCGGGTTTGACTAAAGGGAGAAGTCAATCAAGAACCACAAAGATGTTTTCAGGGAATGTTCAGTTGAGAGTTCAGCGCTCCTCGGTGTTGCTGTTGAGAATGACAGGTGAGAAGGGGGCATTACCACTTCCTTGGTAAGAAGAGGCCTCTCACAGAGGCCTCTCACAACCAGAAATGAATGGCCAAGGAACCCCTAACCCTAACCCTCTGCATGCAGAGGTCCAGCAGGTACACAGGCCAGCAGGGACCTCTGTGAGGGGAAAGGAGGTAGAAACATGCCGAGATGTAGTGGGGCTGGCCCCAGGGGTTAAGGAAGCGAACACATGAGTGCAAACATTGACAAGGCTTGGAGGCAGGATGACCCACCTGATTCAGTGAAAAGAAAGGTGTCGGCTTCTAGTGGGGACAAACACCCTAGAACAAGAATGTTCTGTGCCTGACCAGACCAGCAAACTGGAAAAGGAGTCACTGAGTCAGGGAGATTGCAGTGCAGTTAAATTCGAACAATTGTTGGAAAAGGGACCTGAGTGGCTAAATGCCCTACACAAATACAACCAGAAAGGGACACAAGCCAGTAACATTGGGAAACTGATTCAACAAATTGTGGTAGATTCATAGTCTAAAATACTATGCCATCATCTCAGTCATGGTTGGGAAAAATTCTAATGACACAAGAGAGTGTTGATGGTACTGTTAATTTTTCAAAAATATGAAACTTTATCGTGATGGTGGTCATGCTGGCCAGCTATTTCCTCATATCCGTGTTTGGGGGAGTCATGGTCTTTGTGTTTGGGATCACTTTTCCTTTGTTGCTGATATTCATCCACACGTCCTTGAGACTTCAGAACCTCAAGAACAAGCTGGAGAATAAAATGGAGGGCATCGGTGTGAAGAGGACCCCCCAAACAAATCCTAGAGGCTTTGGAACAGCAGGAGGAAGGCATCAGCAAACTCACTAACTATATTAGCAAAGTGAAGGAATAGACCTTTCCCCTGGGGACAGGGTTGCAGCTGAAATTGAGTTGCAGTTTGTCCAGATCTACTTTTTGTTTGTGTTTTTTAAATAGGAGGTGCACGTTTTACCACCCAACTACCTATGGCAGCATGCATGTGCTGGCCCCACTCCTAACATCTCTGATGTCACCGATCCGAGTCCTCAGAAACTGAAAGCCAACCACCCTCCTGTTGTCTGAGGTTTCTGGTGTGGTAGTGACAGAGAAGTATGGATTCTCCAGCAACAATACTACTATCTCGTAGGGAAAAAAATAATTGTAAAATATCAAGGCAATAGAAGTCAATGAAAAGGCTGTCAAAGGAAAAGAAAAATAAATAAAAAGAGGAAAAACTGTCAAGTACATGGCATCGTGTGTTAGCCCATTTTGATTCCTTCCTGGCACCTTCTCCAAAATTCCATGGGATAGTATTGTGTGAGGTATTGATTAGTTTAGTTTGTATTATTCTTCAAAAATCAAAGATGATTCTATTGTTTTGCTGCCTGTTTGACTTGCAGTATAACTGGATAAGCCAGTTCTTTATAATTTGTTTATGAATATAAAAGTAGCTGTTTAGGAGAATATTTTGTTAAATTTCTGTAAATTTTTGAAATGCTGGTAATGTGTGTTCACCAGCAGGTATTTGGTGCAAATTTTGTTATCTTCCTTGAGGTTACAGATGTGTAACCCATATTATTCTTGGCTGACTTGTTAAAATACAAACAAAATGAAATCAAGCTTAAGTTCTAAAAAAAAATGAAACTGTAGATATTAGCACAGTATATATATATATATATGTATATATAAATATATTTAATATACATTCATAAAATATCTTAGAATAGAGTGGTCCACATGCTAACATTGGCTGTGTCTTGGTAGTAGAATCATGGTTATCTTTAATACTTTTCTTTGGCTTTTCAAATCTTCCAAATTTTTAATCATACACGCATTACACCTCTAATCTGAAAAATATGTAAAGACTTCCTTGAATGCCAGAATTAAAATGATTTCACTGTAGAGGTTGTGAAGGAGCAGCAGTAAAATAGGGATATTTGAGAGAAGAGCATTGAAAGGGCCCAGCTAACAAAGCCAGTGCCATACAAGAAGCCCAGAGACTTGATCAAACATCTTTCTAGAGACTGAGGAAAAATACTTGTGAAGAAGCAGGAAATGGGGTACCCAGCAGAGAAGAAGCAAACTCCTGCCTCAACAAAAATGCATTAGCCTATGTCCTTGAAGAACGCAACCCACTGTGCAGTTGTGGCCACGGGGTTGTCAGCTGTGAGAAAGAAAGGAAAAAGAGAAGCTTTACTGTGTATCTCAGGATACTTTAGAGAAACCAAAAATGCTGTTCTGGGCTGCTGGGTGAGACCTTGCAAGAAAGATGGTCAGAGGTAGAGAAAATTTCAGGTGACAGTGACAACAGATCAATCATGGAATGATAAAATGGTGGCCCTGCAGGAAGCATGCCACTTTGTCCATGAGCAGATGGGAAGGTAAAGGTGAGTCTGTGCAAGAGCCCTTGTCCTGAGGGGTCCTAAGTCCCTGTCCTTCCTGCCTCACTACAGGTTCCTCTCTACTCTTGGACAAAGGTGGCTCACTGGCTGATGCCATGGACAAGTCTGCTGGGCCGAGAGCGTCATTGTGTGAGGGGACTGATTCCCTGAGCATATCCGTGCTGTGGTTGCTACCCCTCTTCCACAGGCAGCAAATGTGCCCCAGGTCCTTCTTCAAGTTCCAGCTTCAACAGAGAGTGTAGGATTGCAGGGGACAGTGCCTCTGTACACTGACACCTCTTCTCTCTCTAGCATATATCTTCCCGACCCTATGGTGTCCTCATGGTTGGCAGGATGATAAAGTCAGTATTTGGGAAATGTCAGGGTGTATTTGGACTTTGCCTCAGACATCACCGGCCAGACTGGTGATCCTTCATTCCAGTCCTGGGTTCTAGACCTTTTAGTCCTTAGGCAATAGGAAGCGAGTTGGGTTTCCCAGGCAGCCGACAACCCTGGCAGTGGGAGCAGTCTTGTTTTGATGCATGAGTGAGCCAGGAAAGCTTGATGTGGGAGTGATCAGGGGAAAACAAATAGGGAGCAGCAGAGCGTCACTGGGGAAGTGTCTCATCTGCTCTCCTTGCAATGCTTGGGCCACCTTTCTGTCACTTCTAATCACTGTGGGTCATGCTTTTGAGAGGCAGAAGCCCACACTTTCCACTTTGGCAGCCTCTAAGGCAATCACTGTGTGGCGTGCACGTGCTGTGGCTGTGGGCATGGGGACCTAGCCTTTCCCTTCCCACTTCCAAAGTCAGTCATCGAGTTCTGTTTCTTGCATATTCAGTGACCTTTGCTATCATCCCAGGCCCTGTCATGGTGGAAAAAATTCACAATGTGAGCTTAAGAAAGCTCCCAGAGAGCTCCCCGCTCCCTCTGTCCTTAGCTTTGCTGTACTGTATTTCTAACAGTGATCATGCCCTGTGTTTTAGCCTCTCCATATGCAACAAGCTGGGAAGCTTTCTGAAGCTTTTTAACTGCAGTGTTATTGAGTATAGCACCAGGCAAATTTCAAAGCCCAGTAACTGTAGGACTTTGGTGCATTTGGCCTGTGGATTTATCTCATGCCATTTTTGTTGGAATTCATCCAATACATCTTTGGTTCAACCCCAGTGATATTAAGCCCTGATGAAATTATTCAGGCAGAGGGAATGAGTCAGACAGAGGAAAAAGAGCTGGATTGGGGTGGCAAGGTGGACCTGAAAATTCCTTGACAACACCTTTCTGTAGGACAGGAATGGGAAAATAATGAAGATTGTGACTGTTCGATTTCCCTTGTGGGTGAAAGGTTGAATTGAACAAGAAGGGGACAGAAGAAGGAGGAGAAGGTAGAGGAGGAGTAGAAGGGGGAGGAAGAAGAGAAGAAAGAGAGGGGAGAGGGGACAAGGAGGAGAAAGGGGACAGGAGGAGAAAGGGGAAGAGGAAGATGGAGAGGAACAGTAGCAGCAGTAGTGGCAACCAAACCCCAAAGCAGCAGTATGTCCTGATGAAATGCTTTCAGCATCTCGCACAACACAGAATAAGAAGCTTATCTTCAATGGCACTTTGGCCCAGTGTCTTCCAAGAAAGGAGGAAATAGGCTGTTTGCTCATAGCCTGGATCCCTTGTTCTTCTCCATATGTGAAGCCACAGCTGAACAGCTTGCAGGTCATTACCTGGCTGGCTCTCGGCCACAGAGTTCCCAGTAACTGGCCAGTTGATGTTATGTTGTTGTAGACTTCCTTCTCTCCCATGTATCTCTGTGGAGCACACTGCAGTGTTTTGAGGATAAATACGATAACGATAAATAGAATCGGAATGAGAGGCTTAGATGGGGAAGGCATCCAAACTGGAGGCTTGCCATGGGTGGGTGCCATTTTGGTGTGACTGCTCTAACTAGTCACCAGCTGGGACTCTCAGCACCTAAAGTAAGGCTCAGCATTTTTTCTAAGTCCCTAAGAAAGGCCAATCCTGGAAGTCTAGTGCTGGGACTAGAATTTTGCCAGCACTGGCCTGGACTTGTGGGTAGTTAAGAGAAAGAAAATAGAGAAAATGGAAACATGGGTAATTCTCTAGTTTATGATGTTGCATGGAGTTTTCTTGGGTGAAATCAACATGCAATGAATACTGGTTGTGTACATAAATCAATGATCATAGACATTGGGATTCTTGGTTTCTGTGACATTGGAAAAGAGTAAAAGAATTGAAGACTGAACAGGTAGAAAAATTTCCCAATTCCCCTTCAAGAAGAGGAGTCCTAAATTCCCAGTGGCCCTTTGAGCTGTCCAGTATGGAGCCCAGTTTCTTAAAGATGTTGGTCCAGGAAGGTAGCTCAAGGTGAGAGTTGCAGTACACTCACCACCCCCTTTTGTTGCTTGCTTTGGCTTCTGTAAGGTGAAAAAGAGAAGAGAAGAGAGGAGAAGAAGAGAAGAGGAGAGGAGAGGAGAGAAGGGAGGGGAGCAGAGGGGAGGAGATAGCACAGGAGGGGAGAGGAAGGAAGGGGAGGAGAAGAGAGGAGAGGCGAAGCGAGGAGAGGAGAGGAGAGGAGAGGAGAGGGGAGAGAAATTGACACTTTCAGCAAGGACTGGCTTTATTGAGATAAAAAGTGTTGCTGACTGGGTAGTGCTAGAACAGCAGCTCTCTTATAGAGTAAGGAGTTTGTGAGGATAGCAGAGAATAAAGAAGCTGGAAACCATTTGGAGATCAAGCCATCCAGTCCACGATCCCCTGTCTGTCTTGTGTTTATACAAGGTTCCCTATGCTTTTGAAGCTGAGGGCCTCTTGGTCTGGAATGGTGTGTTCTATAGACAGGAATTAAACCAGGTCAGTAAAGTAGAGGTATTGGTATTTGTTTTACAAAGCTAAGAGGATATGAGGAAGAGTCAAAACTCACGGGAAGATGTTCTTCAGAGTTTTCCTTATAGCTCCTATCAAGGACACCCCGTCATCGTGTTTTTCCTTGGCCTTTAGTACCACCTTTGTAGCATAGAACATGTCAGTCAACTTCCCATCACTATTACCAACACCTGAGAGAAGCAAGCTATAAGGAGAAAAGGTGTTTTTTCTCTCATAGTTTAGGAAGTTCCCATCCACAATTCGTTAGCCCCATTGTCCTCTGGCCACTGACCAGGTAGCGTGTCATGGCAGAAGCATGAGATGAAACCGAACTGCGTGCCTCAAGGCTAGGAAGCAGAGAGCACAAGCAAGGGGCTGGGGCCCCACAGTCATCTTCAGGGGCACATCCTCAGTGACCTAGCGACCTTGCACTAGACCCTCTATCTCCAAGGATCCACCACACCCTTTAATGCCAATGCCATCCTGGGGACCACAGTCATAACACCTGAATGCCCAAGACCAACAGTGTCATTCTGACAATGACATTTAGATTTGCAATCTCCTGTTCTGAAGAAAATGAATGAACAGAAGGAAAAACAAGTCTTCATGAGATTCTACTTTAGTTCCCTAGATAGGGAGTATCCAGTAGAGCTCTTATTTAATGCACTGGAAGAAAGTCCAATGGAAATGACCGATAGGATGACTTCATAACATGTAAAATTCCTCCCTGTGAAGCTCACTTATGAGCAGGATGAGTGGGAGGGCATTAAGCTGGGAACTGTTTGAAACACACATGACCTCATGGAATAAAAAGACAAATATTCCTAATATATAAAGAGTACATACAAACTGATGAGATAAACATCAAGACCCAAAATAGATACCCAAGTAAAGGACAAACAGATCTCTAAAGAGAAAATGCAAATGGCAAATCAACATGCAATAGAAGTCCGGTCTCACTGGTTTTAAATAAAATGCAAACTGAAATAGCAGAGGGATATCATTTCCCCTATCGAAATAACAAAGATTCTTCAATGATGGACTAAGAACTGGGACAGTGAGACAGAATGTCCTGTGCTATGGGGAAGCACAGTCTTTCTGGAAAATGACCTGCCCCTTTGCATCTAGAGCCTTAGAATACACAGTTGCCCTTTAACCCAGGAGTTTGGCTTCTGGAAATGTATTTTGAGGAGGTCATCTGAGATGTGGGACCACGTCCATAGATAAGATATTCACAGCAGACAATTGCTTTACTTAAATAGGCCAAAGTGGACCAACAATAAGAGTAGCACAGTAATATTGCTCATCCATTCTGCAAAATGCAGAGGCATTAAACTGGACATGCATGACGAGTTGTTCATGGGAAACTCTTAATATAGAGAGTCAGGTAATTAAGTAATTCATGCTCATTAATGTAAAAATGCAGGAAAATATCACTCTGTATGCTATTTCATTTGTATTTTTTTTATATTAGAAAAAGGCCAGAAGAAAATTTTCTAAATTATCACATCAATTATCTTAAGGTAATGAGAGTACAGGAAACTGGTAGTTCCTTTTTAACTATTTTCCCTTGGGTTTTCCAGAAAGGGTGCTTTTTTTCTTCTTAAAATAGAAGAAAAAGAATAGTCCCTCCTAAGTGCCCTCAGTCAGATCAATGACCTTATGGTTTGGCATTATCTTACAACATGTACTCAATCTGTGGACAAATAACCCATAAGTTATGTAACACACTATGTTATCCTTCTCTTTCTGCCCTGGCTGCCAAAGACCTGAAGACTCTGGTGTTGAGAGTGTGCATCCGGTGTGCTGTTATGTGCATGCAGTGTGCTCACGGTGACACACCCCTTGCTAATCCTTCATTGCTCCTTGCACAGTAACCCTCAGAGCTGCATCCTTTCACGGCCAGTGTGTTACTTCAGAAGCGTGTACACTGCTGTACCTTGACTGTGCTGCTCACGGTGTGACTGAATGACAGACGCCACCCAACAAGGAACTCTGCATTTACTCTGGGAGGCAAACATTTATCACAGCCTCAGTCCCGTCCCCCACGTAGCTACCCAAAAGCACAGGGGGAACCAGTGCCTCCACCATACCCATACCACTCATTTTTCCTGAAGAAAACCTAAACAGGTTGTCTAGTTTGCACTTTCAAAAAAAATCTTGGGGTAAAAAAACTTTCCAAACTAATGGTGGCTCACCAGAATGTGTACCTTCAAAGTGTCCAAGTTTTTGCACATCAGTCATAATTTACTAAAGCTTAAAAAAAAAAAAAAAAAAAAAAACAAACCTCTTGACTGTGGAGTTCTGTGCAGGGATTTCTGCTTTCTCCCGGGCTAAGGTGCTGAAAAATCTGTGTGCATTTCAGAGAATTTGTTCTGTCCAGCGAATTTTCCTATTATACTCCAATACCTGGAGAGAAAACTTAAAGTGTAAATAAACCCATGCTCTTAACACACTCAATTTAACACACCCAAATAATGTCTGAAATTAAAGAAGACCCGCCAGGCTCTCTGAATGGGACCTTCTGTCCTGTGTTTCCAGAGGTGAAAGGGCATATCATGGTAGCTGAGCAAGACACAGGGGGCAGTCAAGCCTGGCCTTTGTCTCTTCCCCTGATTAGATCTCTGAGTTTGGCAGTGATGCTGAACTTCATCGGGCCCCTGTTTCCTCACTGGTAAACAAACACCATATCAACAGGCAACCTGTTCCATGTTTGTGGTGTGCCAAGGAGTAGGACCGTGTGCTCAACATGCACACAGACTCGTTTCATCTCTCACTGCCTCCCTGAGGCGTGCTGCTTGGGCTCCTATGGCCGACGAGGAAACTGAGGCACAACCACCACCAAAGCAGACAGATCGTTTGCTGAAGTTCATGCAGCTCAAAGGTGGCAGAACAGATTTCATTTTAGGGGATCTGGTCCTAGAACCTGAGCTTGTCGCCACCTTACCTTGGCTGGAAGTACTGCCCTAGTGGGTCCCCTGACCATTGGTGACAAGGCACTGATGCAGTGACTAATCCCACTTCACCCCTGAATCTGGACTGTGGCATCCAGCTAAAACTGTCATTTGGCATTTCTCTAGAGGGAGTTATGAGCACTTTACTACACCTGTGATCAGCCTGAATAAAATTCTTCCAAAGATATACTTTTTAATAATATCTAATATAGTAAAAGAATGAATATTAACTTATAGGCCAGAGGTGTGATTGATAGATACTATTATTGATTATCTTGGTGGGTCACAAATTCCTTAGAAGAGACAAGCTCAGAGGGACCTGACACACACAAAGACAGTTACATGGAGGTGGGGCAGTGGTTGGAGAGATGCTACCACAAGCCAAGGGGTGCCTGAGCCTGAAGAGGTCCCCCCTTGAACCCCTGGAGGGAGTGTGGTCCTGCTGACATCTTGACTTTGGACATCTGGCTCACAGAAATGGAAAAGGATGAATTTTTGTTGTTTTAAACTACCTGGTTTGTAGTGATTTGTGATCACAGTACTAGGGAACTATTGCAGCACCTTATCCCCTAGCAGACTGAATGCATTTCTGTCTGTTTTTATCAAGACAACCACATGTGCTTCCTCAGGTGGTAAAGGACTTGTTCAGGTTCTTCTACAAAATACCCATCACTGAAAAACTAAGTGGAACACACTACAGAAATGAAAGTGTTCAGATCACATTAGGATGTGGCTTTTGCAGGGTTTGCCCTGTTCATTTTAGGATCTTTGCTCTGAGTACCCAGAGATCGCCCCTTCAAACATCTTTTAGAGTGAGGTGCTGACAACTGAGCCCCAAACAGCTCCTTATCCCCATTTTATGGATGCAAACCCTGGCAGACTGAATGACTAACTCATTTGCCCTTTGACATAGCTGAGAACTGAAAGAACATTCTGTAGGGGCAAGGTCATCGCTGGTAAGAAATGTATCATTGTAGCCTTGGAAGGAAGCTTCGGATGGTCATTTTGTTGATGGGAGATAAAGTATATTAATCAGTTTTCTTGTGCCTGAGACATAATACCCAACACCCACGGTTCAGTTTTAGAACATGCTGGCTCCAAGGCAGGACCATCATGGTGGAAGGGCTTAGTTCATGGAAGCCAGGAAGCAGGGCAAGGGAAGAGTGCCAGAGCCCAGCGGGTGAGGAACCAGATAGCACCCAAGGCCACAACTCCATTACTTCCCCAGACACACCCAGGAATGTACTTTACTAAGCTGTTTGGCATTTCTTAATCCAGTGAAGTTGACATATCTGATTAATAGTCACAAGAGAATTTTACTGATCTCACTGTGCCCAAAAATATTCATTATCTACTACAAGAGGTATCTACTGTGACTGGGCAAGTTTGAGAAACTCAGAAGGTGTGACAGTCCCAGCCTCTGCCATTATGGGGTTCATTAGGGAGAGATGAGCTGTTTGTACAGAAACAAAACCAAGCCAGGTGTTTGCATGTGACAAATACACACCAGTTTTGAAGGACAGGGCACTCCCTGGGAGTAAGAACCTGTTGTATGGCCCAGCTTCACCCCTAACACCTCAGTTGTCTCTGAACAAGGTTTGTCATGTCTGTGGACCTTCAGGTCCCTAGCTGCAGAGTGATAGGACACAGTGTGCTCATTGATTACTGAGCTCCCTTCTGGCTCTGGATGAGATCCTTGTAATTACAGTGGCTGGCACTGGGCTGGAATGTGACCTCCTTGGATCTCTAGTCAAATGAGACTCTACTTCAGAATCCCTGAGAGTTGGTTTCAACCTTTCTAAGGTCCTCATGTGATCCTTTTTCTGGTTACTTGAGTTCATCCTCCATCCATAACCCCCTTGTTGAGTCCTCAAGGCTGTCACATTGTTTTGGTTACTTTTCTCTCTTTGCTGAGACAAAATACCCGACACCCAAAATTAAGGAGGGAGAAGTTTATTTAGCTTACAGTTTGTGGAGGTTTCAGTCCATACTTGGCTGGCTCCAAGGCAGAGTGGCACATGGCAGAGGGCAACCGTTCACGGTGGTGGAAAACAGCAAAAGCAGCAAGAGCAGGAGGGTGAGAACAAGCCCCTTTCCCTCCCTTATATTGTAAGCAAGCTATCCCCACCCAGGAGGTGTGTAGCACTCACACCATCTCCACGCCCTCCTTCTGCACAGGCTCGGGATGAATACAAAGTAAGGACCCCACGCCCTGCTTAGTCACTTAATTAGCTTTCTAAACTTCTCAAATTGACACAATGAACAACATCCTAGAGTGGTAAGGGTATGTCCTTTTCACCCCAGGATGTAGAACTGCTGAGTCACTTAGCCAAGCCTCTAGCTTCCTCAAGTTGGCACAATGTAGCAACCATAACACACATGTTAGGGTTTGGAAGACAACAGCTCCAGCTCCATAGTAGGTTTTTAATGTGTGGCTTACCAGCCCCTGAGTCCACTTCTGATAGGTTTCAGTGATTTTGCTCTAGAGTCAGCCGGGTGGAGGACTTGGTCACCAACATCATAAAACATAGCAACCCTGATCTTGGCCAGTCAGACAGGCACACCCACTTGCCCTTGGAATTTGATGCAAAGACAGGGGAAGAGGAAGAAGAAAGAGGGGGTGGTCTTGGTGGCAGCTTCTCCCACTCTCCAGATGCAGCAAGTCCCACTAAGGTGTCATGTCCACTCTGAAGGTGATGACACTGATGCAAATGGTGCTGTGCGCATTAGATTTGAGGCATAAGTGAGGGAAGAAAACAGACCTATGAATGCCCTTAAATAGCAACAAATTGAATTTTATTCTGAAAACAGTCAAGGTGACCAAAAGGAAGTGTCATATTTGCATATGGTAAGGAGTTGCTTTCTCAGCTGTGTTGAAAATAGATCAGAGACAGCTTTGGGTTAAATACAGTGCCATGTATATGTTTATCTTTGTCCCCTCACAAAACACATGGACATGATAATAACAGAAATAAAAGGACATCAAAGAGAATGGAGAACAATGAACAAAGGAATGACAAGCTGTCCGGGGATAAAGAGTGACACCTGATCCCTGGACTAGGGACAATTGGATCCTTGCTTTTCAGGATGGAAAGGGGGAGCAAGCTGATCCACACCACAGACCCTTCAACCTCAAAAATCAAGGTGCCAGGGCTCCCTGAAGACGCAGACTTGAGGAAGGGATGAAGACAGAAGAATCTGTCGAGTTTTTATCGGGAACAGTCACATAAACTTCTAGATGTTTTCTCTCACTGTACCACACACTCAAAGAACTAGGCACACCCAAGCCAGCGGAAGTCCAGAGGTGCATTCTCTGAATTAAATCAGAAACATTGTGACCATAGTACCAGCCCAGGCCATACTACAAAGATGAAAGTGAAGCCTCCGTACAGAATGGTGAACCCTTGCTTGGCTCCCGGAAGCGGAAACCAGTTCTATGCCGTCTATGCAGGAAATTAGAGAGATGGAGGAGTCCCACTGAGGGAAACTGATCACCTTAAAACGAAATACCTGTGTCATCCCAGCGCAGGAAATCCCTGAGAGGTCATTGGCTCCCTGTCTGGTCACAATGCCGTGAGCCCCAGAGACACTCTGTTCCTCTGCAAAGAGTTTTCCGTCAACTCAGCCCTCAAACATGAATGAACAACAAAGGGTCATCATATTGGAAGGGGCCGGTCACAGACAGGAGTGAAAAAGGAGGACAAAAAGGAATTGGAAGGAAACAGAGACCGTGTGGCCTGCATGGAGACATGGAGAAATGATAAGCGATAGTCTTGGGTATACAAGAAGTTACTGCACTGCAGGATGAGAGCGGCATGCTATAAAAAAGGCACATTCAGAGAACATAATGGAGCTCTTGGAAATAAAAATAAAATGGCAAAACAAAAAGTTCTATAAAGTAGTGGCAGCATAAACTTGAAATGTCCTAGAAAGTAGGATAAACCTAGAATGAAATGGTACAAAACGGGGAAATTCAAGGACTGGCCTGTGAAATCTAAAACCCAGATAAACAAGTGTAACAGGAACCAGAGAAAATGGAAAGGAAAAAGGAATTATCAAAGAAAAATACAAGAAAATATCCAACTCACAGATATGAGTTGGAAAAGACTCGCTGGGTGTCCAACACCCTAGATTTTAAAAGGTCCTCATGGAAATACTATTTCTCCTTAAAAGAAGCAGAAGTCTGTGGAGAAATGGTTGCTTCTAGGGCTGCAGCTTAAAATGTGCAAGATGGAACATTCTGTCAAACCAAACAAGAACACAGTTATTGGAGTCTGGGTCATGTCTGTAGGACGCAGGAGCCAATTTGGAGAGATTCCTATTGGCGGGAGGTGTGAGATCCCAGCATCACTTGGAATAATGACCGCGGTGAGCCAGATGTGTTTTAAGCCATGAGTTCGTAATGATTCTTCAAAAAAGAACAACTAATTGGCCACCTTTGGAAGATGTTAGGGAGGCAACTCATTATTTTGAAAGCTGCCCAATAAAGAAGAATCAAGTGCTTATTTTGTCTTTCCTGTAAAACTGTAGCTGAAGTGAGCACACAGTGGCAGGGAGCAGGTTTCTCTTTAATTGCAGCTAAGAAACGAGGAATGAAAGCAAAGGAGAACTTTGCTATGTCAAATCCCACAGGAAAAGGAAGGGTTCAGGCCAACATGCCTGACTGTGGCTCACCTCACCAATGCTACAAGCTGATGTTTTGTGCCTCCTAGTAGGGTACATGATACCCCCTCACCTATCGGTGGCACAGACTGGGTAGTAAAGAGCTAGTTGCTCATGGTGCTGCCTGTTTGAGACAGAAGAGGCTGAGGCTCAGTTTATATTGAGGGGAGGGATTAGGGATCTGGCATCAAGTCTTTAGCAAGGGATTTCTTTGATATTTAATGGGTAGCCCAGCACCTCTGAGAGAAAATTCCTCAGTCTCAGCCTGGAAAGAGTTGGAGCATGGACCCAGCCATCCATCTGTCAGGAGACCAGCTCTTCTGCCCCTGGGGCCACCTGAGAGGAGGGCAACTGCCCGTCCCTTCCCTGCCTGTTCGGTGGGTAGTCATGTGCATGGCTTCCTCTTCTGCCTCCTGCAGGTTGACACCAAGACCACACAGGCTCAGGGGCATGGCCACAGGTCTCATGTTGCTTAGCTTGGTTTCCAGCAGGACCTGACCTTGCACCAGGGCTTGAGATGATCTCAGGAAGCAGAGTGAAGGAGTGAGCAGGGGAGATGAGAGTCAGTACCACGCCAGGGAGGGAATCCCTGTGGTGGGTGGCTGGGGCTCGTCCCATGGGGACCTCTGGGGTACTGAGGACCACACCTCGGTGTCTCCTATCCAGGACCAGAACGGGAGTCTGTTTCCCCATTGTGTGATGATTACCCTGGAGTCTTACTGAGCATACTTTCTGGCTAGACATCATGTGCAGACTGGGTGAGCTCGGGGCTCCCATACAGAGCCCATAAGAGGCATGGCTCAGAGCAGAACAGGCCCAACCTGTCCCCATCACTGGGGGTGCACCCACTGCACTCGTCGTTGGGGGTCTTTGTGGGCACGAGGACAAACTGACTGGACTTGCCTCAGTGGAACAGGTGGTGGCACAGGTATCATGCATCAGGGGAGCAGGCGGTGGGGTGCAAGGGCTGTGAACCCCAGAAAGAAGCGGGGGCACGTGCTCAGTGTGCCTCAGGGATCTGGTCGCTGACCTGGGCTGTCCTCCTCCTAAGTTTAGCGTCTTTTGCTGCTGGCTCTTAAACAGGGCTAATTCTGCCCCTGGCCTGGTGGCTGTGGTGAAAATGCTGACAATAGTTATTAACCCCAGCTGCAAGTTAAGGTCCCCTGGGAGACTTTAAAACTACGGATGCCTCTGCCCCTCCCCAGAGCAGGGAAGGTAATTGGTCTGCATCCTGGCACAGGGAGCTTTAAAAATCTCCCCAGGTGTTTCTAATGAGCAGCCACCATTTATAAGAAAGTTCTGCAACCTTGGCAGGAAGTCCCTGTGGCAAGCCAGTATTAATGTAGCAATCAGGAAGGAATTTCTCACTTCTTTATGAACCCCACCCACTGAGTAGCGGGAAGGAGGAGAC